GTTCAAAGTTTGATCCATGCATTGTACATGCGACATTAGATTATTGCCATAGTTTGTGTTATGGTCTACATGACGAGATGATACCTATGCTTCAGCTCATTTAAAACCGTGCTGCCAAGCTTGTTGTGGGAGATGACCAGTATCCAACATGCCATCTGTCATCATGGTAATATCTTATCATTTTAGTTATCTCACTTGTAATGCTTTTATGTTTTTTTTAAATCTGTCACCAATCTCTTCAGACGGAATCGACAGCATTTAAAATAATTTTTCCAATACATAGAACAAAATATTTAACTTACTAATTATCATCAAAATTTGGTTAAATGAGGTCATGTTTTACTGTTTTACATGAAAAAATTAGAAATAAAAGCATAGATTTGTTATAAAGCTATCGACAATTATATTCACAGAAACAACGGGGCACATAATTATGATTTGGTTGCTGGTTCAAATTTTGTTCTGGCCTTTTAATTAATTATTTATAATTAATAAAATAAACAATGCATGTACATTGATTGATAACATGTATATATATATATATATATAACATATATTTATTATATATATATATATATAACATATATTTATTATATATATATATAACATATATTTATTATATATATATACAATTTATTTCTATTTGCATGATGAATTTGGTTAATAATTATAAGAAGAAAAATTGACGTCTGTGTGTTGTTGACATGGATATAATTATATCCATGGTTGTTGATTCTTCTGAACCTAGGAAAGGATGAGTGTTCTGTAATAGACCATTTTTTATCCTGTTTAAAAATAAACAAAATAGCAATCGATATAATAACCATGTGACGCAATTTGTATATGAAAATGAATGTACTGTATATGCAATTCATCTTATATATATATATATATATATATATATATATATATATATATATATATATATATATATATATGATATATTCACTAGATATAAAACAATTACACATACATATATATGTACGTATATATTTATGCATAATATAATATAAATGTATATATTGAACAGAAATTTATCCACCGGTTGTTTATAGACTGATAGGTTTCTCTTTCGCTTGTTAAAGTTTTGGGGTTAGAGTTGTTTATTCTGGATTTTTGCGGCATTCCTTAACTTAAAATTTAATTGGATTGGAGCTCAAAAACGGTATAAAAATTCATTATCGAATTAAATTTATAATAATTTAATTAATTATTTATAAAAAATAAATCTAATAAATTCTAAATAAAATACATTGTTTATTTTATTAATTATATAATATAAATTATGAAATATAATAATTAATTAAAAATGTATTTATTCACCATGTTGTTTATATAAAAAAAATTATGTATAATTTATTTTATTATAAATAAACTAACATCTTTATAAATAAAAATACTATTTACTTTTTTATTAGCTTGCCTTTTACAATTTATATTTATATAATTTATAATATTATAATAACTATAATATTTTATAATAATTTAATATTATATTATTTAATTATATAAAAATTATAATATATAATAATTTAGAATTTAATATAATTAAAATTAATATAATATAAAATATTATATACTGGAAATAAAATAAATTAGTAAATTTATTATAAAATAAATGCTATATTAGAATAGTTATGGTATGACATGATTGAGTTACCAATATGATCATATCTGATGATCAAGTATCAGGTGGCATATACAGGAGATCAGGATTTTTTATATTTGTAATTTTATGATATGTTTATAATTTATATTACAATAAATATAACCAGAAACATTGTTTAGTTATCTCAAATTTTTTAATTGATTTAACTATTTAACATATAATTTAAATATATGAGTTTCAAATGTGCATTTTTTTGTACAGGAAATGTTTCTACCATGTCAGAATTTTTCAAGAACACAATTTTAATATTTTTATTTAATTTTTTACAGTTTATAAATTCTAGCTCACAAAAATTAATTTGTTCTAAAAGCTAATAAATTTCAAATTTTTTTTGATAGTTGATGAAAGGTAAAGTGCATAAAAAAGAATAATCCAAGTTTAAGACAGAAACGTTTCTGTTTAATTTTCTAAGACAATTATTGCTGTCAGACTTTCCTTTCAGCATCCAACATGCAATCTGCCATCATGATAATATCTTATCATTCTAGATATTTCATTCGTATATTTTATTGATGAATTCGGTCACCAATCTCTTGTTATAATCACTAAGATTTTCAGAAAATAATATCAGGATAACAAAAAATGGATCTTAAGGTTCATTTAATTAACATCCTAATTTTTGGAAAGCTGACAGCATATCATTTACAATCTGTTCATAATTACGTGCTCTGTTGATTCTGAGAACGTAATTGTCAATTGCTTTATAACAAATCTATGCGTTTATTTCGGACTTGGCCGGATTTAAAATTCAAAAACCGACCGGGACCGGATTTTAGTTACCATTTTACATACGTTAAAAAAATAAAAATACTCACATTCACGGTTAACATCAAAAAATAACACCAAGCAAATAGTTAATTAATTCAAATATATAAATAAGTTGTGTGATATGCCAAATTCTGTACACAAAGATCAGCTTTTAATTTATGCATAACCCGTGTTATATCATAAAGAAAATTGTCCAGCTCACCTCACAATTAGTGATGTTATTATGTGTCATATATGCTTAGCCTTTAACTTATTGACATAAAATTAATTGAATTCAATAAAAAAAATTTTCTATTTATAACATTTTTAAATGTTGATAGACGCTTAAATCCGGCCCTAAATCTGGTTACCAAATCCGACCGGGGATGGATTTGAAAAAAAACCGGATTTTGGCCGGAGCCGGGGCCAAACTTCGGTGCATCCCTTATATATATATATATATATATATATAAAATTTTGAACCAGGTTTTCGGATAAGCAGGTTTTATTAAAAATAATTCCCAAATTTGTTGTTATTACCTTTTTGAATAATAATTCATCATGTCGTAGATTGGTAGATTCAACATTATTTAAAACAACGCTTTCGCTGACGGCCGTTTCGGCTAGTGCCATCGTCAGAGCCTGACATATATATATATATATGTTGGTAATAGACCATAATTTTTACAATATTCTATAAATTCTGCCGAATGTTTGGCG